ATCATAACTTTGTTTCACCCCTAGTCTGGGATGAACCAGTCCTAGTCTGGTTCTCAAGCCGGAAAGCAGACTGAAAAAGCAGAACAATGGATCAGATCTGATTTCATAAGAATCTACACCAGAAAGAAAATGACGGAACTGGTATTTAACAGCTGGACCCATTCGCCACAAAGAAGAACACACACTGGGAACCTCCCCAGCATCACCACAGCAATGAGTTTTCAGCCAACGGTTCTTCATCTCCCGAGAATATGGATATCCAGCTGGCAGGACAGAACTAACTGCATCAACCCACCGGAGAAATATGTTCATAGAACAGAACAGAATATTTTTCAGTTGGAAGGGATCTACAATGTCCATCTAGTCCAAATGCCTGACCACTTCAGGGCTGACCAAAAGTTTCAGCATGTTGTTGATGGCATTGTCCAAACGCCTCTTAAAGACTGACAGGGATGGGGCATTGACCATGTGTCTAGGAAGCCTCTTCCAGTGTTTGATTATTGAGGGTCTAATAGAAGGGAAGGGAAGTGGAAAAAGGAGGGGAGTGGAGAGGAGGGAGGAGAAAGAGGAATGCCATTATAGAGAGGACTATGAAAGACAGGAGGGAAGATTGGATTGAAAGCCCGAAAGGAGAGAGGGAGAAAGAAGAGATAACAGCAGCAACAAAAGAGAGGACTCGAGATGGGATATAAAGCAGAAGAAAAGCTAGAGATGAAAGAAAGGAAAAGAATGGAGAAGGGAGAGAGGAATAAATGATAGAAAAGGAAAACGGAGAAATAAATGTGTGCATGGGGGGAGAAGGGAAGGGAGAAGGGAAGGGAGGGAGAAGGGAAGGGAGGGAGAAGGGAAGGGAGGGAGAAGGGAAGGGAAGGTGGGGATGAGAGACTCACTGAAGAGTATCATGAGGCAGTAGATAATCATGGCACCAGGGTCCAGGGTGTGCTCAGAGCTCTGTGCTGGCCTGTCCAGGAGAGGAGCGTGCTGCCTGGTGGGTCTGTCCTGCCTTCTTCATCTGTCTGACTTGAACTGGGTGGTCAGAGGGGTAGGGAGAGGAAGCACTGCAGAAAGAAGTAGAAGCCACTAACCACAGCTGGATGCTCAGGGGAAGCTACACCCTGGATGTTGCGTGTCTTGGGGTTGTCATCGTGTTTTCACAGACCTTTTCTTCACTATGAGGGTGGTGAGGCACTGGAACAGGTTGCCCAGAGAAGATGTGCATGCCCCATCCCTGGAAGTGTTCCAGGCCAGGTTGGATGGGGCTTTGAGCAACCTGGTCTAGTGGAAGGTGTCCCTGCCCCTGCAGCCTGTGGAGGACCCACGATGGAGCAGATGGATGTTCCTGAAGGAACTTCAGCCCATGGAGAACCCATGGCAGAGCAGAGGAAAGGTGTGAGAGGAAAGACGTGTCAGAGAGAAATTGCTACGTATTGACCATAACTCAAAGGACTGAAGCTGAGCATGGGAAACAGGGGGAGGAAAGGTCTTGTTTTAATGTTCGTCTATCCAAATCAATAATTACACATGTATTTTAATTGGCAATAAATTCAGTCAATTCTCCCCAAGTGGAGTCTGTTTTTCCCACAAGGGTAATTGGTAAGTAATCACCCTGTATTTGTCTCAAACCACAAACTTCCTCATTTGCATTCTTCCTATTTTTTCTCCCTGTCCCACTGAGGGGGGGAGTGAGCAAATGGCTGGGTGGGAGTTTGGCTCCTAGCCACGACTAACCCATCACAAGTGTAAAATGATTAAAATGTTCAAAATGTAAAACATTTTAAAATAATCAAATGTAAAATGAGTAAAAGAAGAACATAATGTTTTTATTTATAGAAGTCATATTTGATTGAAGAACACTGATTTTTTTCCTGTACGAACCACCACCACCGACATAAGAAAACATAGGACATGTACATTCACTTTTAAGGTCCTGCATGGATGACCATAAGACTAGTCATAGCAGCCACAAAACCTGAAATGTCTCATGGAACAGAACTGCCTCTAAGGCAGAAGAATGGATTAGTGAACCTCTTGGGACCATTTCCAGCTAGGGGATTCTCAGACCCATTGAATCTCATGGTCAGTAGTGACAGGTCTGGCCTCATTTCTTTATGATTAACTCCCTCCTTTGCAAGGGTGCTAATAATTTCCCTCTCTCCTCCAGCTCAATGCGAGTTCCCTCTGTCCCACCTCTTTTCTCTTGCTCTAGATCCACCACATGCTCCTGCATTTCTCCCATGAGAATCCTAAGGTGCTCAGCTCCTGTGCTGGGAAGGGCATCAAGATTTTTAACAATCACTGTAAATGGTGCTTTATACTAATTTTCAGCATTACTGGCACAGGAGAGTGGCTGAGCACAGCTCAGATTGTGTCTGCAATGTCATACTGAATGGAAAACGACTAAAAGAGATCAAATCTAGTCCAGAAATCTTATCTCTGTCTTTGTGACAATTATGTTGCTGTTCCTTTTTCCTGTTGAATGGGTAGAACCACTGGTAAAGATAGAAGAGTGGACATTTTCAGATGTTTCTTTTTTTTTTTAGGTTAATCTTTACTTTCATTAGCTTCTGGGCAATGCTATTAGAATAAGAATGAGCTCATATGACACAATCCCTGACAGACACCTACCTACTGTTTCTGTATATAAATATTCATCACTACTGTATATAAATATTCATCACGTACTTACACATATCGGTAAGATCGCTTCCTTGGATGAAAGATGCTCCAGTCCCTCAGTCATCTTTGTGGCCATTTGCTGGACTCCAGTAAACCCCTATCTTTCTTGTACTGGGGAGCCGAGAATTGGACACAGCGCTCCAACGTGGCTTCACCAGGTCCCGAGCAGAGAAGGATCACCTCCCTCAGCCTGCTAGCAATGTTCTTCCTAATGCAGCCCAACACCATTGGTTTTCTTTGCCACAAGAGGGC